CGGATGGATCCGTTTTCCCCCCACGTCCTTTGAAAGGTGCGAAATATCCGTTTTTTTTCTTCTCACCGCCAAGGTCTTTCAAAAAGTTTTGGATTTCCTCTTGTTTGGGTTCGTAACGAGCTTCTGACAAAATTCCATTCTCGAAGAAGCTGTTGATTGTCGCGCTCACCCTCAGGGGATTCAGGGGCAATTGTCCCGCACCGTTAGAATCACAACTCGTGGATTCGTGATGCATGTACCAAAACTTCCTCGGAATAGCGGACACCACATCCAAATACTTATTCGCACGACGCAACGGTCTTCCAGCCAGCGCTCGCTGTGCGTGATTGAGGTTGCAAAGGCAGCGCTCTTCATCCAGCTTCGCCACGACGGCCTCACGAGAATAGCAGAAGAGCGATATCCGACAATCGATGGGCTTGCCACACGGAACGTACTGTTGCGGATTGAGAAACGATATTGTCATAAGGTTGAGATAGACTTGCGAGAAGATGAAACACAAGGCAAGCGCGGATCCTGTTGCGAGAATTTGAGAGTACCTTCGAACACTGGATATAATTTCAGTCGCCGAAATGAAATTGATCACGACTTTGATCAATGTGTCCTTGAAACTGGTCCTGCTCGACCTCGATATCGCTCCCGCGATTATCGATACGCTGATCAGATTCAGAACCCAGACACCTGAGTCTATAGGCTCGATTAGAGCCATGACTTCCTTCTTTCGCCAACGAATATAGGTGTAGCATACAGCTGCGGTTTGACCGACCGTGGTGAATCGCATAGGCAAGAGCTGTGGATATCCTCGGGAGGACGCCGTGAGAGGTCTAGCTCTAGATAGTTCGAAGCGGATTCCAATCATGGTCCCATTACATTGGACATGACCATCGAGTGAGACGTGAGACACTTTTTCATCATATGCAACCTTCCTCGTGATACTGACTCCTCCCACGGAGCACTCCGTCGAGCTTGAGTCACAGGTCTCAAAAGGCGCGTCAACCTTGAAAGTGACCAAGTTTCTGAAGTTTTTCACACACGAGAATCTTCGGGTTCGGTCGTGACTCAACCAGAGCGTACTGAATCTTCCGGAATTACGTACACGGCTTCCGTCCCAAACCGCGATGTGCAGGATCAAATTGTGACGGAAGTTCTCGAATGGCCACCAGTAGCTCTCCAAAGGTGGTGAGATTGCGACAACCTTCAGGTTTGCCTGGAGCGCTCCTAGAAACAGCAGATTCGGGCTTATAATCATGGATTTCGCCGGAGGCGAGGATACAATCAAAGTTGCTCCGACTTCGACCCTTTCGAAGAACTTGAAACCCATCAGCACTATGAGCAGTTTTCGCGGCGGGACTCCGCGCTCCAATGCGGAATCCTCTGCCAACGTGAAGACCTCTGCGAGAAGCAGCTCTTCTGACTTCAATCTGAAGCGCGCACTACACTCCGAGAGTCCCAAGATCACCAAGAGCCAACACGATAACATTGCGTCGAAATAACGTTCGTTTTCCCTACGTTAGCCCCTAAGAAACTGAGGCAGGAACGACTCCATACGAAGACAAGAATATGAGCGGAAATCGCTCGCTGAGGTAGATGACCACTCTCAATCGAGACGTTCTTTGAGATTCATCCGAGAGACCAGATCGCAGCACGCGATTGCCTTGAGAGACCCATCAAAGAGCATATCCTCGGAATTCGCCCGAGGGTTAGCGATGCGCATCCATTCGAAAACGACAACGATCGTCAGTGAGAACTCCAGAAATGCTCCAGGACTCCCTCGATTCTCCTCGCGCAGTCTCGGCTGCTGCTCGTCGGGGGTCGATACGGGAAATGAATTCAGCAGCCGGAGCATTCTTTCAATTCCACGAGCGCTAGCTCCGCGTCTTACCATGATCGCATTTTCCTTTCTTCCTGTTCGATTCCACGTCACATTGACGACCAGGCGGGGAGTCGGTTAGTTTCTGACTTCACCTGTCACATCAGGACCATTTTTACTGCATTCCCTCAGAGAATATGACTCACGTAGGTTGCGGCGAGTTTCGGGCAGATTTCTTCCGATCGACAACCCTAATCACTCATCGATGATAAGTGTACGGTCACAATGGCTAAGGACCAATCGCCCGAGTCATTTCACGCGTAGGTGTATCTGATTCCGCGCAGCATGGATCGGCTCGGATAATTCGCCGCTAGGACAATTCACAGAAATCAATTTTAGTGAAAGATACCATGAACCTGCTGATTTTTTCCCTGACCCACGCGCCTGATAGCTCGGTGTGGAAAGATTCGACTGAAAATTGATGAGGAGAAATGTTTCGCATTTGAAACCATGTACCCTCCTCGCCCACCGCCGGAGGGTGTACACTCCTGGTGCGATCAGCTTGAAAATCTGGCAACGTATGCGAGCCTGATCCCGGAATGGTGAAATCTGAAATTAAAGTGGCCTAGCTCGTATCACGAGCGAAGTAACAAGTTCGAAGCTCCCCACTCGACCCCTGAGGCACGCGTCGAAAACCTCAATTCTGAGACGACACCTTGGAAGTGAGCTTCCTCTTGGCGGAGATCGTAGGTCCGGTTCGGACTCGTTCAATCCGACGCGCTTTCAGAAGTCACGATCGATTAGCGAACTTTGCTGAGCTGAGCTTTGCAAAAGCGCCGAAAACACCTACAAGCTGAAGTTCTAGTCTAGTCTCAAAGGCTAGAGTAGTCCTTCGCAGGGCTAATATCAGCAAAGTACACCGAAGTGAGCTCGAAACGAAAAATCGACGGAGATCGAAGTGTCACCGTACATCTGAGATTCCCTGTTCCTCTCTGAAGTTTTTCGAGTTTGGCTCCATCTTCAATTACATGCTGAGACAGATAGGATGGAAGGAGTCTGTCGGGTCTGAGATCATCCTGAGAAAATTGAAGCCTCAGCCGTCAGTCACAAGATGGGAGTCCAGGATGCCCCGTCTCGTTCTCACCGTCTAGAGGAGAAATATTCCAGGATGCAGACGTACCACTTGTAAGGGAGATCCAGTGTCTCCGATTCCCGTACAGAAAAGGACAACTGAAACGATTTCTGGAAGCTTCGACGTCGATTGAAACATCCGATCCGAAAATGGGAGGGCGAGGAGATTCTCGGCATCGATCGCTCCTCCCTATCTGGAAGAACTTCTCTGAGCATCCTGCTTCTCCGAAGTCGAATTCGATTTGACTCCGACTGCAGCAACGGGATGGCGTGGGGCGTTTGAAGAAACGACAATACTCATTGGTCTGCTCCTAAGATCCATCCGCCAATATCATTCTCGATGGAGGTGAGGCTTGCGAGACGCGGGAGAACCTCTCGTTCAGGTCCGCGGATTCATTCCTGATAAAAATAAAGTCAATCCTTGTTGGAACGGAGCCGGAGCAGATCAGTCGCAAATGAAACCTCAATGCTCCAACACGGTGCGCTCATGATGTTCAGGTCAGATGCCATCTATAATACATCGAGTCATGATTCCGCGGACAAGCGGTCGGAGAGAAATTGAAAACCGATGAGGCACGTGAAGCCTAGTTTCGTTTGAAATATGAACCATCTAATGATTGTCGGAGTCGTCCTTCGAACAGCGTACCACTGGTCCTGAAACGTGGGCCGATCGATTCGGAGTTCCACGGAGCAAGGGGTCGAATTCCAGCAATTCACTTTGATTCCTCCGACTACGAGTGAGGGTGCTCAAAGATTGTCCTTGGTTCCGATGTCTCCCATATGCAAGGCACCTTCGTTTGGAATAAAATCGTAAAAGCATTAGAATGGCTCCGGGATTAGTATCTGGGCTTTTATCGATCTGTTGCCGATTCGTTGGTCTTGGTTCAGGCGCAGGCTGGAGAATTTCTGAACGTCAACGTTCAGAGTTTCTCCGGGAAAACCTGGCCAATTGGTGTCCATCTGCGATCGAAAGCGGCGCGGCAGCTCCAAGGCTTCTGCATTCATGTCTCTCGCGTCGATTCGGAAACTTTTGCGAATCATTCGATGCAGACGAGCTCCGGGGGCTCGCACGATTCGATTGCTTTTTTCTAGCCCCTCTCCCCCCCCCCTCCCCCCCCCCTCGAGATTGGCGAAACTCGTCACTAAACGCCATAATGGAATCATCTCACTCAGGGATGGGCTGATCGTCCAATTATTTGAGAAAGTTCCCGAAAGGGGTTTCCCAGCTAGGCGGACTTGTTTCCTTTGAATCTCCGCGAGAAGTTCAAATCCGATTTCTGGACGATTACACAGGCAAGCCTCGAATTTGATTGAATCGCTCGGAAATGCAAATCGATCACGCGCCTCGGAAATAACGGGAAAAGCCGCCCTCCACATTCATTGATTCAATAACGCGGAAGAGTGGAGTAAGGAAAAGAGCTTCTCAGCCGCCGGAATCGAGTATCATCTCGACGTATAGGGGAGTTTTCCGGCAATCCGAAAAGGAAATCCCTCACCCGCACGGAGTGGCACCGGACAGTGACAGAAATATTCGTTCTCCCTCCTCGCGTCGCGTCAGCCCGGAGATGATGGCTTCGGGGAGAACACCGGTGACTTCCGTTAGTTCAACCTTTGCCTCCTCTCTGAGGGAATGCGGAGAGGTGATTGAAGTGAAGCTTCCGCGGTGTGAACATTACGAAGGGTATTAAAAAAAAAGCTATCAGGTCCTAGTTTTGGCTTATCGCAACCTCGCATGACACGAAGCCGCAAAAGGGCCCCTCACGACCGTGGGGAAGCCTCACGTAATCCCGAGGTCCGAACATTCGACCTTTCAATCGCTCCATTCTGAGTTTCGCAACCAGGTAGTCAACTTCTCCAGGTGGGCGAGGCCGGTCGCTTGCGACGGAAAACCGTCGCAGATGGTCGACGTACACCGTTTATATAGGGTGAGTGGGTAAGGGACGCATGTGAGAGGGGACAGCCGGTTTGCCTCTCTCTCAGAGCTTGGGCGCGAAACCGTCAAGTTCACTTCGAGACTGGCCCAACAACATCCGAAAGCCCATGACGGAGGCCCGGCTAAAGTATGGAGCTTCCTCAATCAGAGGTTAATTGGAGTGAATGTGTTATGCCGGAGCATGCTCCGCACTATGTTTATAATCTCAGCTATTATGAGTTCGGCGAAACGGACCCCCAGGAGAAGATGGGCCTCCTGTGCGTGATGATCTACGTGGTGACTCTGATCGCGTCTCTCGTTGGGAATTGGGGTGTAGTTCTCACGGTGCTGCTGAATCGCTCGATGCGAACTACGGTGAATTTCTACTTATCGAATCTAGCATTCGCCGATGCGCTCATTGCAATGTTCTGCATGTGGACCTACCTGGTGAAACATTTTAACGACTCCTACGTGCTAGGAGGCTTCATGTGTCGTGTCGAAGGATTTGTTCAGAGTGAGTTATCTCGCATCGAAGGAGAAGAACTTAACGGATTTATCAAGTGATATATCATGGAGAATCCACGCGAGGTGCTGCGTGGATATATCCTCTCTCGAGTATTTTTTTAACGCAGAAGATCGCTCAGCATCTCTCCTGTGGAATTCTTGAAAGCTTGACGAACCTGCGATGAAGTCATCGGGCGCATTTTCGGGAAGGCGATGCGGTCCGGACCGATGCGAGAGAGGACCGATTCACGACGTCGAACGGAGAAATATCGAAAAATCCTAATAGCTCGCCATCCCTCTCTTGTTGAGATATCTCATCGAGAGTCGGCCCGTATCGGGAGCTTCTTTTGTCGCTCTTGTGAAGCGTCTTCAGTGAGATTTGCTTGATGGGGATTGATGCGAAGTTCTTTGTCATTGAGCCCCTCAGAGGAACACCCACCATTGCTTTGTTGGGTGTTCTTCGCTTCCACTGATTTTGACGAACGAGTGCGGAGCCCCGAGTAGCGAAACAACTCGTTCGCGTGATCCTCATGCAGGACTTTCAAATCCGGAGGAATTCCTTGTTCATAGTCCTGTCACGACGATTTTACACCGATTCTAGTCACGCGCATCCCGCAGGAGAATGGGGTTCCTGAATTGGAGTGAAAATCGCGAGCTCCGTGACCTCTACTTCTGGGCCTAATTCGATTACGGGGCTACTTTCCTCGTCAGAAAGAGTGGAATTACGGCCGACCTGTTCATTCGAGGCCCTAGTACAGAGAACGAGGACGCTCATTTGAGTACATGATGTCAATACCTACTTCTTCTGTGTGAGACAAGATTTTCCATCAGACTCGTCCGCCTGGATGACTCGCCGGATGTCGAAAGCAAATAAGCGCACCCTGCCATGGCCGACGCTGAGAACTGTGGCGATGTGAAGAATGGAGAAAACTAGCGATGCTCACAACTGTCACCCCTGGAGCGATTTACAACTGTCTCTAGCAGCAATCATCTCGGATCTCATTCCGACGATCGCGAAAGGGTGGCGGCCTTGTCGTGATGCTTCATCCTGTCCTGCGTAGGATTTCTTACCGAGTCCCCTATTTCACGGTCCACCAAATTCTGATAGGTCTGACGTGATAATGTCGGACAAGTATCGCAATGAATAAAATGTATGCCCTCTCTGCGCGAGTTCCAGTCTCGATACAAGCGAAAACCCAATATGTTAAGCCATCCGATATCGTGAACGTATGGAGTTCGAGGTCAACGCTTATCTGTAACATCGGCTGCGAGCGAAGAACATGGACACGACGTGCCGGCTGAGCGATAAGTTTTATTGAGTCATTCGCTGGCAAGGGGGCTATGATCGAGCTCAAGTTTGCCACGGACTGAGGAGAAGAGAGTCCGAGGCCAGTACACAGACGTGATTCGCGGGGCGCTCCACCTCATTTGACCGTTTCGCGAAACGCTTTCCCCTATGCTCGTTGGCTCATTGAAGATGCCGTTCTATATCAGCTCCTGAATACACATACGCAGGACGTGATTCCTTGCCAGGCTGTTTGTTCCTGAGGATCCGCGAGAGCTCATGATCACGTAAAGCCACGATCCGCCTCTACATCCGGCTGACAACGGAATCCGTTGTTCGACCTTGGTAGACTGCGCGAAAAATCGAACAGAGGCTGGGACCGTAGTTCGGAGGTGTCTCCATGAGGGGAATGGAGCTAGGCTTCTCACAATCACCGGGCTCTTCCGAGTGACGCAACGATGCGCGAGGGGTCCGGAGCTCCCGTGAGAGGGGTAAGGGCTACTGTCCAGTGGAGCTGGGAACCGTCTTCTCGTTCAGCGATTTTCTAAGAAAAAACTAAAGTTGCACCGCTCCGAGACGAGAGAACCTGAATATTTTCCCCAAGGTAGGAGACTCCACTCCGACGAGCCTCTCTATCAACGTAATACTCATGGGTTCAGTGAAACCGTCGCAGATGGATTGGGCGAGGGTAGACCCAGCATCTCCGGTTCTTCCTTTCATGCAACGTCCCTTCGCCCCCGTTCATATAGACGACCGAGAGGAGGTCTATCCTCAAGTTGAATAGGTCTCAGGATTACCTCCGTGCGTGGCTTGAATCCTGAACGGAGGGTTCTGGAGTGCCTCATTTGGATAAAATGCGATTGGCTTGCCACGGTCGCCGTGGAACAATTGCTTGGTCGGGTCGGTAGTTATGCCGTTGCTTTAGGAAAATACTCGGAATGAGAACGGCGTCGGGCCACGAGTCTCCTCAGAGAGAGTTGCTTTGCCTAGATCGCCCCCCCTCTCTCTGGAAAATTGAGGAGACGAAACATAATTAGCGGAAGAGACTCACGAAGCGCTGGAGATAGACGAGAGGAACTCACTCGAAGAACGTGCCTGTTCTCCATGTATGGAGTTCCTGAACGTGATCTGAGGTAGTTCTATCTCCTTGCGTGCTTACCTTTACTTCTGTGATGTTATGAACAATAGGAACCAGAATGTTAGGCCGAAGTCCAGCAGCTCAGTGGAGGGGATTAGACGGGAGAACATTGTCAACGCAGAATTCGAAGAGCCCGATATTTGTTGCTCGTTTCACGTTCCCCTCACCATGGCCGGGGCTCACCTTCATGAATTTGGATTTCTTGTAGTGATTGGCGGCAATCGGTTGTTTTCTGTTTCGCAACTTGCCGAAAAGGGTTACGATGTCCGCATGTTGTGATTCGAGATCAGATCGTCAGCGCCCTCTCTCGGAACGATCGGGATCCCAGGATGCGTCCTATCGGAGTTTCCCCCTGCGGCTCCATGCTCATCTGACTTGATGAGGTTATATGGGCTGCTCTGGATCTCAGCCCGTCGTACCCAACCTCCATCGAGCGACGGGAGGTCTCATGGTAGTTCTAGAATCGCTGGGGAATTCTCTCGTGTAAGTCCTTTTCCTTCAGCCGCTACGGTCACGATCCCTTCGTATGGATGCCTGATACTCGCGAATCTTACGACAGGTGTCACTAAAGGCTGCCAATCTGCGCAAAGATCCCCGCTAATTGTTTCCACGGTGCGGCTTGATGCAAGAGGGAATGACCGAGCGGGCGGGCGGTCTGACATGAGACGCGTGAGCTGCATACAGACCCCTCCGTGGGAATTCCTCGATCCCGATGGAGACGCGTCAGGCCCGGCGCCTCGAATCGTATGACTCGAGGTGAGTCGGAAACCTTCCGCGGCAACTCGTGACTCCGCTCCGCTCATCGTAAACAAGGGCTCGAGCGCGGAAGGGGATGGCGATACACCCCGAGCGTGACGTTTTCCAGAATCCCCCAGCACGATCTCCGGCATGTCATTCCGGCGTCACTGTTCGGTAGAATATGGGACTGATAGAAACGCGGATTCCGGACAGGATCTCGAAACAGGACAGGAAAGCTCTGAATTGAAAGTCTTCTTGCCTCACAGCACAAAAGTCGGAGAGTCTCGGAGGGGAAAGTCTCGGCATACAATGCTCAACCGATAGCATTTTCCCTTCCCAATCCGAGTCTTTACAATACATATACATACCGGAAGCTGTTGCTTGTTGGAGTTCTGGAAGATGAAGCGCTCCCCATTCTGGTGGGCTTCTTTTGTGATGATATTCGAAGCGCAGCGTCGACTATCGGCGACGAGTATCGTCGGTTACCAAAATCGGAAGTCGTCGGAGAGATGCTCTCCGAAAAAGCTCTCGAATGCGGAACTCCCAAAGGAGCACTAGATTTTGGAGGGCGCCCGGGAACTCGGGAATGAATTTCCTGGGATCTCGACGCCTTGATCGATGATTACTCAGTGAGAGGCATGGGAACAATCACCGGCGTATAGAAGAACTCCATGAGTTTCCCTGCTCCTGGTGGTAAGTGATACCCACACTCGGGGAGGGGCTGACCTCATTCATTCTCCGCCGCGTGTTGTTCACCGGAGCGTGTCACGAAGCGTGACTTAATGATAAGTAAAAGCATCATCCTCGGGTTCTGATAAATGGATGTCATGTATGTAGAACTTCGCAGACTGGGAAAACACAAGCATCCCCGAGAGTCGGCCTGGCGAACTCAATTACGCATCTGTACATAAGCCATCCTATTATTCCTCGCGCGGAGAAAGTTTCCGAATCGATGGCTCCGTGATGATCCTTTTGATAATTTTTCGAGTATACCCCACAGTCTAGAGACACATGGAGTTTTTGGAGTCGGGAGGTGTATGGTCTGTGTGGATGAGATACGATTCCGGAACCGGAGTAAAATCCTCTTTCTTGAGGGACGATGCTGCTGTCCTGCCCTAAGGACGAGTCGGTAGATTTAGTGAGCGAGAATTATGTACTCATGATGTCCGCGTATCTCCTTCAAGAGAATCCTCTCATTTCCGCCGTGCTTCCGCCATTTCTCTTGCACTTCGTATCTAACGCATTCTCCACCGTTTCCCCGTATTCTAAGAATGCTCTGTATCAGCTCGTCGTCGTATCGGAAGCTACCATTAGTGGGACCGTCCAGCGCCACGACTTTCAGATACACGCCTGCGAGCTCGATCGCTATCGGCGTCACCGGATCCGCATGGGAGCGAAGATCGATATCTAGATCAGGATACGCTGCATGGCCGGTTTTCGGTTTCGTTCCTCACCGCAGCATGCTTGCAGCTGACGGTCGACCGTTAGAATGAAACTCCCTCTTTGGAGAATCTTGGATGGATTCGACTCGCGAGGATTCACACGAGTCTCGGAGAACGGAGCCGGATTCCCTTCTGTTCGAGCTTGGGAAAGTTCTTGACGCCAACAATGAGGCGCTTCCTCTGGGAAGTTTCGTCAGAATCGTTTTGCCGTCATGGTTCGTCTGACCGCTTGGCCTGGGCAGTCATCGAGAGCACTCGAACGATCCGGGGAGGACCTTAGAAAAACACTACATCGGACCGTAAATAAGAGCTTGAATCATTGAGCCAGAGAAGCGTTCTGACAGCTGGTAAAAAGGTATGGTTTGTTTTTATGCCTGTCACGGACCTTTCTATTCTCGTGTCGGAAC